GCACCTTTAGCTTCATCTCTTCCAATCTCTTTTGTGATTTCTAAGATCACTGTCGTAACTGTGGCTCCGATCCTAACCGCCTCAGTGACCCAAATCACTAAAGGCTTGAATATCAGCATAGCCACTGCTAATCACCTACGTCCACCAGTCTCGGTCATTTTCTCTTATCCTCCTTCTTTGGTCTTGACACATGCTTATGACTCATCAACACTGTCTTCCCTGATGATGAAGCACCCACCACAGGACCTGAGGTTGCTCCTCTCGACGCATCTCAGTATATGGGCGCCTATCCTCTCGAAGGCAACCTGGAGAGAACCAACATCAATCCTTCAGATGGTGCTGATGAACCCTCAAGTACTCCTCTATCCTACCCCTTCATTTCTTCTAACCGAGCTATCTTATGCTCAAACATTTTCCTTTTTAGGTCCTTGTGACGAAGGAACGCCAGCCATGGAAGTAGAATACAACATGGCTGAAGATGTGAAGCTGTTACTCCCTACGGTGGAGACTGTCTTTATTAAAATGGATGAAGTCCATAAAGGCATGCCTCTCAGGAATGAAGTTTCTGCTGACCTCTCAGCTGTCAAAGCTGAAGTTCAAGAGGTCAAAGAACAGCTTTCTTCGGTGCAAGCAGTCGTATGCACCAATACTGAGGCCATCTCTGCTCTAACCAGCAAGGACGATGAAGCAAATGCCCAGCTTACCAGGCATGGTGAGCTGATGCAGCAGATACTGGATACCAGCTCCTACACCGTCATGGATCTCCTCCAGCTGGATCAGACTCTTGAGTGCAGTCTTTTTCAAGCCAGAGCGCTGACAAAGCTTGAAGAGATCGTGGAAATCTTAACAAGAACTCTTGATAACTTCTTTGATTATCATGTTGATGACAAAGAGGGGGAGACAAAGTTAGATGTTGCTGCTGCTATCCCAACGACTGAAACTGAAGCTCCTAGAGCCAAAGCTAATGAAGTTGAGGTTGTTGATGAAAACCCAACTTCCCATGAAGCTCTTAAAGCTGAGGTCGTGGATGAAACCGTCAGAGCTGATGCTGAAGCTCGTGACGAAGACCTTCCTATCACCTCTGCAGCTGATGTTGGTGATAAGAAAGATGATGACAATGAAGACGATGATTCTCCCACCCTTCCTGATGCTGGAAATGATCTCGATGGTGATGATGATGATGATGATGATGATGATGACGACGACGACGACGATGATGACGACTTCACCATTCAGTACCAGAAACCCACCAGTGCTGTGAAAGGAGTCTCTCTCAGGGATTCTGCATCCCAGGGGGAGAAAGAGAAAGATAAAGAAAAAGAGAAGGAGACTTCTGAGAAGAACCAGAACACCAAATCAAAAAACAAAGGTGTTGTTGAAGAAGGAAATCTCAAGGTACTCTTCAAACCTGTTGAGCCTTTAAGTACTGAATCTTCCATGTTTGTTATCGTTACTTCTTTCTGTCAACTCTATCCCTTCTACTACCTGCGGTCGGCTAGAGGAATGGGTTTCTGAAAACCCAACCTCTAGCGTTCTTACCTACCAGATGTCTCAGCTGAAGGAGTCACTCGACCAAATTAGAGTAAAAATCCCTCTTCGTACCTCTAGTTGTGATGAGTTTGACTTCCTGTATGAAGCTGAAAGACTCAAGGCACTCAAGGCTGAGGAAAAACTCAATCTTCAACAACAACAGACTGAGGACAGCATAAAGCTGGTCAAGTCTCTTGCTGCTCAAGTTCTTCCGAAGAAAAAGTCTAAAAAGATTGTGAATGATGTCAATGCCCAGGCTAAGTTTCTTTCCATTGCAAAAGCTGAGCATGAAAAGGCGATGAAGCTAGTCGACAGAGACAGAAAATGGAGCGAAGATCTTCTGAACAAGAGAATCAGTCCTCACCCTATTTCAAACGTCACAATCAATGGACGGATGAAAGATGGTGGAGTTCTAGTCTCAATGCTCATCACCAGAGACAACCTTAATGCTGTCACGGAGTATCCTTCCTACCTAGGTCAGTATGGCTACAGTGAATGGTTGGAAATCCGCCAAGCCATTCAGCGCTCAAAGTCAAGGCACAAGTTGATTATTGAAGACATCATCAGCGAGCTGATCAAGAAGATGTCAAAATACGTCGTTGTACCTACAAAGCCATCAATAAATAAAAGTGAAAGAAGAAGACCTTCAAGTCCTAATGACGGACCAACCCTGAGGAATGAACATGAAACAAAGTTCTCCTTAGACGAAGTTCTGAAGGATTCGAAGAAGCCATACATCTCAATGTTGAACCTCTCCTTTCCAGCGAAGGGTCCTTACATACCCAACACTGTGCACCTAAAGCCTGAGTTAGGATTTATTTTCCTTGACTATGAAGGCGAACACAGCTTCTAGAGAGTGTCTGAGCTAAATCTTTGTCACATAGAACACTTAGATTGTCTAAGATATTGGTTGGACAATGATTTATATGGTGAAATGATAGACAGCAAGATCAGAAGAGAATTTCTACGTCGAAAGGAGCTTGGAGAAAAAGTATCTGGCTACATCGACTTCAGCGACCTAGATTAGTTATGAATTTGTCTTGTAATCTTGTCTTTCATTGTATGTCTTTTGTATCTATGTCTTTACTTTCATTGTACAACTTATATTTTGTAAGTCTAGAAATGTACTGACTGAAACACTTGTAATTTTTCCTTTGAATTTTTTTAACGTCTAATTAGATCGGGTAATAATTCAAATTATGAACGGAAGCTTGTTGCTTTTTCTTTCCCTAAAATATAAGTATTTCATCAGCATCACTGAAAAAGATCCCTGAAAAGAGTAATAGGGACACATGTCTATGAGTTCCAGTATTCTCTTACAGTCACTGACAATCTCTGAACATGTTTTCAGTTTCAATTTCAGTTTCCCTTGTTGTACTTTTTCTTAAACTTGTAACTTAAGAAAACTTATAAAGTAAAACTGGTTCACTGAAAAAGATCCAAAAATAGTTAAAAGGACATGTACTTTATATGTAACTTTTTCTTACTATTATTCATTAATGCAATTTTGTTTTGTCATCATCAAATAGGGGGAGATTGTTGATCCTCTCTCTCATTGATTTGATGATAATCCCTTCTACCTTTCGAAGTATATTGTTTATGTTCTTTCAGTTTTAGCGATCTTCATTGAGTCTGTTCAGTAATCACTTAAACATGTATTGTAAATCCTATAATGACAACAATATTTCAAGAAGACAAAACCCACACCAAAGAACCTTCAGTGAAAGTCGAAGACTGAAATTAAAGAATAGTAATTGGCGTGTTCGTGATCTGAAGCGGTATTTAGTGATTACAACTTGGTCAACATATGTGTGAAGACTGCTCAAGCCTCAGCGAATGTTGAAGAGACCTTCAATGTTATTCCAGCATTTAGCGATCAAATGAAGCGTGTTCTGCAAGATTTTTTTTATCTTGTCCTTTCACACACAAAGGACAAACTCATACCATTTCTAGAGTACAGTACAGCATGGAGCCGACTAGTCGACTCTAGTGCCCACCAACTCCACGAAATGATGTTTGCTCATGAATAGACAATTGTACTATTCATTATAACAAAAGACAAGCTTTCCTCCTAAAGCTTGACGCGTGTTCAAACCCTTCTGATTTGCATTTAATGCAATGAGTATAAATAGATGAGTGCTCTCTCTATGCAGAGAACACACGCATATACGCACACATCTCAAAAGAACATTTACGCTTATCTTCAAGCAAGTTAGAATCTCTCTCATGAATTCTAAAATTCTTATCCAAGAAGAACATCTTTCTATCTTTATCTTTTCAGCAAATCTTTTCTATTTTGCTAAGTATATACGTGTGTAAACTTAGATTGTTTTAGATAGGTTATCTTTACCTTCTCTATTTCCGCAAACAATCTGAAAAATATGTATTAATCTTTCTCTATCAATATATATTTTTAAATACGAAAGTTTTCTGTGTTTGTATTCATCCCCCCTCCCACTTCTATAAATTGTTCGTCTAAAACTCTTGTACACCCGGTTGGGACTAACTGTGTATGTGTATGTGTATGTACATGTATATATATACATGTATAGACTTGGGATCACGTGAGACCAGCCTGTTTTCGTGAGACCCGTGAGACCAGCTTTTTACACTTGAAACTTCACAACAAAATGTTGTGAAGGTAACCTTCACAGTGTTTTTGCTGTGAAGGTTCGACTTTTTTAAACCTTCACAGTATTTTTGCTGTAAAGTTCCAAATGTAAAAATGTGGTCTCACAGGTCTCACGAAAACAGGCTGGTCTCACTTGAACCCAACCCTACATGTACATGTGTATATATATATATTATATATATATATATATATATATGTATGTATGTGTGTATATATATATATATATATATATGTATGTATTTATTTATATAAATGAAAATTGTGTAAAAGTATTTTTAAATTAAATTATTTAAATATTTAGTTGATTTAGATCATTTTATAATTACAATATGAAACATAAAATTCTTAAACAACATTCAAAAAAATTTGTCCAAGCCCAGTCATGTCGGTCTTCATGATGCCAAAAACCACCCATACAACTTGTTCGGTCCAATCATGTTTCGTCTCGTGTAATACCAAAAAACCACCTACAAGTGCAGAGACCGATACGCGAACTCGAAACATAATTTATTCGAATTGAAAGACAACATGTGACAAACTCATTCGACTTACCTGGTTGGAACAGACCAGCACACACATTCCGGGAAGAAAAACCCTGTTTCAACAAATTGAAGAAAGAACGTAAATTAGGCAAAATACCACAAAATTATAGTTAGTTCTTATATGGTGCAATGTTTAATTTAATTCAACACAATAAAATTTCCTATTTTCGACTTTGTAACAAGCATTCGACAATGTAAATAACCATTTACAATAGATATATGACGAAGCGAACGACAAACCTCAAATCAACATCGTCGAAAGTTACTAGAAATTATCGGCCAAAATGGGTACCAAATTAAAAATAAAAAAATAAGTCATTATATATCGATCGACAAATTTTTAGTACAAATTTTGTTGCATTTTGTGCTCATCTTGAAACTCCTAACAAAAATGAACATGGTTTCATGAACCAACGATGAAAGCATGTATTTCCGCCCAACTAGAAACTGTATATACGATCCCGAATACCCTCTTCCAACTGAAAAACTTTCCTTCGACATGCTCTCGCTGCTTTACCACTAAACCAGGGAATAAAGGCACGAAGGAGACACCGAAATGGGTCCCAACTCTTCTTAGACTTGTGCTCGAGCCGATCAGGATACCTATATCTGCTTCAAGCAGGCAAAGCAAGTCACCGACCGAGTCTCCAATGTAGACGGTTAGATTCTTTCCATCCCATTGGTCATGTTCTTTCAAAATATCAATAAAAGCTTGAAGTTTGTCGATAGGGGACTCCATGTTTCTCGTGATTTCGCCGGTGGATATAAGGCCTTCATAGATGAACTCGTTTGAATGCAGATGTAGATCGTGTATACCCCCTGATTAGCATAGTAAATTCAATTCAATATTTCATTTAACAGACTGCACCAAATCAAATGAGCCCAATATATCCAATCACTGGTGGAGTGGGATGTTGGCAGACTTGACCTCTATCCCAAAGAGTAAAACAATGTTTCCACATGTGCAAAGTGTACAAAAGAAAAGAGAAAGATAATGAAAAACATCATCTGTAAAATACAAGGTATACAGATTAAAGCCTGTGTATTGGGACCCGGCCGGTTGTGCCTGGGGTGGCGGAGGGAATTGATGAGACTCTACCATGATGATAAATCAACAATTAAACGAAAGTTTGCCTTAATTCCTATTTAGTGCAACAAATAATTTTTCCTAGATCATGACAATGTCCAAAATTCCTGTTTTGTACCATTTTTAACCAATAACCTGTTGATATTGTAATACTTGATGAGATGGATGCAAAGTTTATTGTCCCATTCACCATAAACATTTCATATTCCTACAGGTATCCACATCATAAAATATTACAAGACAGCAAGTTAACGATCAAAATGGGCACAAAATTTTTGTTTATCAATTGAGAAAAAAAGTCTTGGTTACACTAAATAGAAGACAGCATTTTGGGGAAGACATAAGGTGGACTCTTTTGCTAGAGTATTATGTACTTCTAATAAAATTGAAGTATTTATAGTTAATATCATTTAAAAACCAAAGGTGGGTTTTGGAGAGGGGGGGGTGTACACATACCAGAGCATTACCTCAAATAGTAGAGTGGTTGTTTCCCTAAAGACCCGACTTTTGAAAAGTGTGTGAAAAAGAGAAATGCATGTAAGATAAATTGTGAAGAGCCAGTTACAAGTAAGCAAAATCGTATAAATATAAGCAGGTGCAATAACGAAAGTAAAGAAACTGGACTGTAGTCTAACTTAAGGCTCTTGTAACCTAATCATTTAGGATATCATGCATTTTCTGTAATGGATTCATAAAGGTAGCCGCTGCTTTGCCCACAGTCAGAAAGGATGCAGATCGCAAAATGAAATAAAAAACTCAAGTACCTGATGAGAAAGCGGACCTAATAAGATCACCACACCAACAATAGGACAAGACATGGACGTCCACATTCAAACGTTCATCCTTCATGATGCACCGAAAGAAATCCATGCAACCATCTTGGAAAATAAGACGTTCACCAGCACGTGTAATATCTTCAAGATTCAAACCCTTGAGTACATTAGATTCAATCACTCTCATGTTCGCCCTTTTCTCAAAGTCCGATAGTTGTTCAAGTGCTTTCCTCAGCCCCTTGTAGTTAAATTTCTCCACTTCAAACACAAAAGTATTAGTTTTTCATATGGTGCAACACGAAGGGAAAATTGCATGAAAAGGCGACATACTTCGGTCAGATTCCTATTTTGTGCAACATACTTTCAAAACCTTCATTCTCGTACATTGAATTTGACATCTCAAACATTTAGGTACCTAATTTACATCAGAGAATGCAAAAAAATGCAACATACATTGGTCTGATTCCTATTATGTGTAACGTACTTTGGTCTAAATATTTGAGATATCATGTCTGATGTACCAAAAGGATATTTCTGAAAGTACCTTACATAAAATAGGAATCAGAATAAAGTATGTTGTATTTCATGCAATTTTCCCCAGCACAAAATAAAATAAATCATATACCTTCTGTGCATTGTTCATAGTTAAGAAGAGTGTTATACACTGGAATGGAATTAGTCGGCTGTTTGTATTAATCTGTGGCTTTTACAGTTTCCACAGGCTTTCGAGAGGCCTGGACTCTCACAAATCGGTTTCCCGACCAGTACAATTCACAAAACAGAATACAGAATGACACCACCTCCTAACCTCTCCTCTATTTAACAGACTCCCTAATGCGCTTTCCTTATATACCCCTATACGACAGACTACTCAAAACTCCTATAATGCCCCTGCACATCTTTATTAAACTACTACCACTACTGACCTTTCTCCTCCTAGCATATGTATCTAATAGCAACATCCAAAGCATCCAGGGTATAACAAAGAGATTTGATGATTTACCTTTCTGATCACCCAACATACATTCCATGATCTTTTCATGTTCTTCAGCGTACTGCCGCGATAACGCTTCCCATATGTTTCTATAGTCGGCTGAAGGCATCTGGGCAACTTGATTTTGATTTTCGGGTTGGATTTGATCCAATTTTGGTGTGGTAACTAAAGCAATCTCGGCCAAAATGGCACACGAATCAACTACAGTGCATGTCAAATCGAAATCAGAGAAGATCATAAGACGATTTTGTCTAGGATTCTGCTCCTTTGATAAAGGAACTACAATCTGCTGATCAATAGGTTGAGCCAAGAAAAACTCCAGCTCAAGTTTCATTGCTTGATGGTAAAGTTTTTGCAAGATATCAAGCTCTTCGCCTGTCAAAGAGACGCTTAATTTGTCCAGTAAGTCCTCGATCTGAAGAGCTGCCGCCTAATTTTTTAGGGAAAGAAAGAAAAAAACAATGGATTTTGTTAATCTCTCTATCCCAAAGAAAGGACACATGCTAGCTATCATACTTTCAATCAAAATGCATAATGCATATGAACTCGCTAAGTTCTAACAAATTATTTTGTTAATTTCATTTAACCCCATAAAGAAGAGCAAAATGCATCAAAATGTAACAACTTAGTTCCTATCTAGTGTAACAAAATAAAATTTAATATGTATAAACGTTTCAAATTTTCCTATTTTGTACCCATTTTGACCGGTAACCTATTGATGTTTTAACATTTGATGAAGTGAATACTAAGTTTAAAGTCCTTTTACAGTAAACCTTTCGCAAACGGATATCCACGTCATCAAATGTTACAAGATCAGCAAGTTGCATGTCAAAATTGGTACAAAATACAAAATAGGAAATTTTGAAACTTAGCTTCATTGATTAGAAAAAAAAAAGAATTTTGTTACACTAAAATAATCAAACAATGCTAGATGTGACCTCAAAAGTGGGAGCAACATTGGATCTTTTTTATGCAAGAAGGGAATTAAATGAACTGAATCATATAAAGTGCCACACCAGAGAAAAAAGGACGATTGTACACAAGAAAAATCCGAACCTGAAAAGCGTCCGAGGAATAATTATCGATCCACTTCTTATAAGGGTGATGATTTCCATTATTATCAACCAAAGATTGGAGCTCGTTACCAAGAAAAGCATAAAGCCTCATGCAAGGGACCATTGCCCCTATGGTATACACCGCAACTTTTGTTTTTTCAAAAGGTGTGGCGAGACTTGCAAGACCTTTTACACCTTCAATCTTCCCAGAGGCAGTTGCCAACAAGAAGTCGGTGTACTTCAGTGTTGCAGAGTTAGGGAAGGTTTCTTTGGACACGTCAAAACCCCATTCCTGGATGATAAATAATGTGATATTAGCATAATTAGCCATTTATGTACAGATGTTTAAGATTACATATGATTATAAATAATTTCCATAAATTTAGGATTTTCTTTTTTAACGAGGAATTGCATTAATTTCATTCTTGGTTTACAACAAAACTTTGCATCATGTTGCATCGGATGGGTACACAACTAGTACCCTCAAATACCAAGCAAAGAAGCAACTGAAGCAAATGACCAACTATAGTATAGAATACTTTTCACCTGTTTAAGGAGGGGTTGTTTACTACCTGCTTACGGCCTCTTACTACCCGGTCAGAAATGTTGCTGTTTACCGAGCCCCTCTTATTGGTCCATGATGTTGACCACATACTGACCTGGTAAGCAAAGGAGGGCTCTTACTCGGTCAGTGTTGACCCCAATGCACTCTTACCCAGTTTGCGTTAGTAAACATCCTGTAAGTGATTAAAACTGAAAGTGGGATTCTCAAGTCTTGCCATTATGGATGTGTCTAAAATCTAAACCTCGACCATGGTTAACTGGTTAATGCTTGATTCCTGTGAAAGAGAGCCTTCCAATAAATATAATTTACATGGACCATCTCGTTAACCAGAACCAAGATTGTCTTTCATTCCTTCCCGACATATGATGAGAGTGAGAAACAAAAAGACACCAAACAGAAAGGATGGTAGGATGATTGAAGGAAAAATGGGCAACCAAACCCAAAGTTCAACTACAAGCACGTTAAATTAAACAAATTTATTTCAGTCTTGAGTTTCACCCCATAACAGAACCATTGGGTAAATAATCATAGACCATTATCATCACATATGATTAACTAATCAAAAAATAGTGAATGAACGTTTGATCAATGAGCTATTCTATTAGCAAAAGAGCCACCAAACATAAAGCCTGTTTGTTAACGGCTTAATGAGCTTTATGGGACTCACAGCTTATTCTGTCGGCTATACATGATTGTTTGGTAGTGGCTTAATGATACGGAAAGTGACTTGTTCAGTAAGCTTACAAGGGAACTTTATGCATAAAACCAAGTATTTCTCCAAATCTCCCCCCTCCCAATTAAAAAAACACCATCCTTCCATCTATGAAAAAAAAAAAACCTTCCCAATCTATATAAACAGATTAATCCTTTATCCATACATGACTTAATGGAAAAAAAAACACCAAACAGCTCCTTATTTGCTTTCCATTCAATGATATTCACAACCTTTTTCACCATCATCGTTGGGTCTTTGGCTATTTCTTATCATTATATCGGTTTAAGATGTTTCTCAACATTCAAATGTGGAGTTTAAAACACTTCCTAATCAATAGTTGCACCTCATCATACAGAATTGTAGTATAATGGTCATAAATCAAAACCCCTACTGAACTGAAATCACTTGGGAAGAAGAATTAAAAAAACAAAAGAGAATATCTTACTTGGCAAAAAGATCCATGCATGTTAAGCTCTTCAAGAACACTCTGTCTTAACTCAGTGATGGAAACTTTAGCATCATCATCATCCGCACACTCCTCAGCTAATTCATATCTAAAAGAAGAAGACATAAATCCAAATTACTAAAACCCAAATGGGCGAGACAAAATTTCTAAAGAGAAAAAGGAGGAGTTACTTACGCTTTGGCAAAGCATTTAAGAAAATGAACATCTTGAGCGATATATTGACGAAAAGTATCAAGCTTGAGATTCCCAGAAGCCAAAGAAACTACAAAAGGAGTGTAGAGAGAAAGGATCGATTCTTTATTAAACCTAACCCATAAACGCTTTGCAATGCCTTCTTCGTTGGGTCTTTGAGTTGTCGTCATCGATGAAACCAAAATTTTGAAGTTTGGGTTGTAATTCTTCGTGGGTCGTATATAGCTTCTGTTACTAAAGAAAACCGATCGGAGAGTATTGATAGGAACAAACAAGAGTTTGTTCGAAAAAAGGGGCATCAGGAAACAAGAATTTGGGGGATTTTGAGAAGTTAAATGAAGAGGCAGAAATCTGGGGAAAGTGTTTTTTGAAACTTTTTTAGGTTGGAATAATTGATTTCGTCTTGTTGTAAAGGAGACGTAAAAGGATATATGCATTTATCATTTTATCTTATCGTATACATGAAGTAAAAATATCATCTCAGCAGCACAGGCCCCTTTCCGTCAAGCCCATCCTCCCAACATCGTCCGACCACCGTCACCACCTCCTCCTCCTCCTCCTCCTCCTCCGAACACCACCGCCGCAGCAAAACCCACACCCCAGTCATAATCTTTTGGCTTTTGGGTAGCGACCAAATCAAAACCTAATGCTGTTTGGACAACCCAAATCCTGTAACAATTTTTAAGGAAACTAGTATGGAACCGAGTATCTTGATTAATGATCTAAAGTCTATACAAATATATATTAATTGTTAATAGAATCATCAATAAATCATATTTAAATAATTCGAAAAAATTAAATAAGATTGTAAAATTAAATAAAATGAGTAATAATAACGACGGGAATATTAAGAAATCTGACACAAATTTAAGAATAAAAAATTCTCCACATAAAGATATGTCTCATTCAAAGAGATGATGTATATGTATCATTTTTCATCATCAGCACACAGCTTGACTTTACAAACACAATAATAAATGGACCAACCGTACAATATGTAAAAAATCACATAACAAACTTAAAGACTTCAAATCTTTATAACCCAATAGATAAAATTATAATGCAATCAAAATCACAACTTGAACATACATAAAATTAAAATACAACTAAACTTACGATAAGAACATACTTAAAAATATAATCCAATCAAAATCATGATACAAACATACATAACATTCTAATACACTCTGAATTACAAAACAAAAAACAAACTTGCATAAAATTCTTACCTTAGATCATAATCAAAAATTCCCACAACCCAAACTTGAAAACTTCAAATTTTCAAGACTTGATATATAAACGTTAAATAACTCGAAAACCTGCAAACCAAAAAACGTTCAACATAAGTAAAAATTACATAGTGAACTTGAACATTTTAAATCTTCACCTAATACATAGAGTTATAATGCAAACAAAAATCACGATACAAACATAAATAAAATTATAATGCAATCAAAATCATGAAATAAATCAATATAAAATTATTACCTTATACTGCCACCAAAAAATCAAATATTGAACTTGAAGACTTCTTCAAATCTTCATGACATAATGCATAAAAACTATAATGCAACCTGAATAACATAACGATACAAACATACATAAAATAATGGAAGAAGTGAAAAAAAAACTATGAAGATTATCAATAGTAAAATAGAAGAAAAACCAAAGAAAAAGAAAATAAATTTAGAGATGTATGAGATAGAGATAGAATTTGAGAGAGTGTGAGAGATGAAGATGAATAAATAGTTKTTGTTTATATATATATATATATATATATAAATGATTGATTGATTGGAAAAGATGAATGGTCTGGAGTTATGTGATTTGAATCAATATAGAATGAGATGAATGGTTTGGAGTTCAATACAAATATTTAACAAAAAAACGTAAATTGACAAAAAAAAAATATAGTAGTGGATATTGAGAGAATGAAAGAGAAAAAAGAAAAATGAGGTTTTAGGCTTTAGGAGAGGTCACTTCAAACACTCATGATTTCTTCTTTAATATATATAATATATAAGAGTTATAATGCAAACAATAATCACGATACAAACAAAAATAAAATTATAATGCAATCAAAATCATGAACACAAATCAATATAAAATTATTACCTTATATTGTGTGATAACTTGATCCTGGTTATCACTCAAGGTAAATAATATGTGATTATCTGATTTAAATGATTACGTGATAGCATGATAAATTGTTACGTTTGATCATGTTGGGATGCGAAAATATGCATAATATGAAATGCATATGTTATATATTTATATGTATGCATGGTATATATATTTATATATATATATATATATATACATGGTGTATGTATGCATGCATGAGAGTTTTGTGAGAAAAAGGGGTTGTGTTAGCCGCCTTTCCTGTTTTGGAAAGTATAAAAGGGAGGCTGAGCCTCCATATTTTCTCTTCTTGCCTTTGAGTTCCTTGTTGTGCGATTTAAAAAGAGAGGTTGACCGGATTATTTCTTGTCTGGAGATTCAAGTTGATTTCAAGTGTTTGATTTCAAAAGCTTGTTAAGGTGAGTAATTTCTAAACTCTTTTTGCATAAAACTTTTACTAGTTTTATATGAATCTTGTTTCTTATTTGAATGAAATCAAAGGATTTA